GTCTGCGGACAAACTATCCCCTCGTGCTGCTCCTTGCGTCTTCCTGGGGTTCCCCCCTGACGCGCCTGGGTGGCAGTTTTACCACCCCACCTCTCGCCGTGTTCTGTCCTCCCAGGACGTCACGTTTGACGAGTCGGTCCCCTACTACCGCCTCTTCCCCTACCGCACTCCGTCCCTCCCCCCACCCCCACTCTTCCTGGTACCAGGTCCCCCCCAGGTAGACCCCCTCCCCCCTCAGGGTCCTGCCCCTTCAGGTGTGTCCCAGGTAGACGCAGTCGAGCCTGTCGAGGTCACTGGTGACTCTGGTGCTGCTGAGGGTGCTGAGGCTGGGGGTGCTGTACCTGGGGGTGCGGAGCCTAGGGGTGCTGGGCCTGGGGGTGCTACGTCTGGGGGTGCTGAGCCTAGGGGTGCTGAGCCTAGGGGTGCTGAGCCTGGGGGTGCTGAGCCTGGGGGTGCTGAGCCTGGGGGTGCTGAGCCTGGGGGTGCTGAGCCTAGGGGTGCTGAGCCTGGGGGTGCTGAGCCTAGGGGTGCTACGTCTGGGGGTGCTGAGCCTAGGGGTGCTACGCCTGGGGGTGCTGAGCCTGGAGGTGCTCCGCCTGGAGGTTCTCCGAGTGCTTCGTCTCGCCGGGAGCCACTTTCTCCACAGGAGCTGCGTGAGTGGTTTGCCCGGCGCTGGAGGCGTGCTGCTGGTGCTGGAGGTCCTTCGGCTGCTGAGGGTGCTGCGGTCGCGGGTCCCAGAGGTGCTCGTCCTGGGTGCACTGGAGCTGGTGCTGCTGAGGGTGTTGGCGCTGAGACTACCGCTGGCAGTCCTACTGGGGGTGCTCCTGGTGCTGCTGGAGGTTCTGGAGCTACTGGTGGTGCTGCTGGAGCGGGTGCTCCTGCTGAGGGTTCTGGTGCTGTCCCTACTGCTTCTAGCGTCGCCGCGCGGCCTCGACCGTACTTCGTTCCACTCCTGCAGCAGGTTCTTGGTCTTCCACCTTCTACTGGTCCTCCTCCTCCTCCTCCCTTAGAGTGTCCACAGCCTGTCTCGTCCCAGCTACAGTTGCAGCCTACCTCCCCTTTGCCTGCTCCTTCTCCCTACACTGGTCCTACTGGAGGTCTGGCTGAGCGTCGTGAGCCTGCGTCTCGCCCTGCGTCGCCTGTCCGTCTTGCTCGCACTAGTGGTCGTGGTTCGCGTCAGCGTCCTCCTCCTGTCCCTGGCACGCACCGGATGTCTCTGCGTCCGTCCACTGCTCCTCTGCGTGCCCCTTTGCCTTCTCCTCCTGAGTCCTCTCTTCCTGCTCTTGCCGACCCGGAGTCGGACTCTCTTCGTGCTGCCAGTCCTACTGTCACGCGTCTCCTTGCTACTGTTGTCACTGACCCTTCTTTCGAGTCTACTGCTGCGTCTGCTCTCGTTACTGAGCTCGTCGACTTTGCTGCTCGCTGTCGCTTAGACTACGCTGCTAGTCTTGTCGCTGAGTCTGAGTCTGTCTGTCCTCCGTCCGTCGGGGGTGAGTGTGCCCTTGGCACGGACGTCCTTGAGGACAGGCAGGAGGAGTTCCAGTGTCTGGCAGCTGCCTCACCTCATCTCGTGTCCGTACTGCTTACCCCTGAGGGAGACCCGGATGCACTTGACATCCCGACTCCGCGCTCTTACGCGGAGGCGATAGAGGGTCCCTACTCCTCTCAGTGGCAGGCAGCTATGGATGCAGAGATGGCTTCCTGGAAGTCCACAGGCACCTACGTTGACGCTGTCCCCCCTCCTGGGGCGAACATCGTCAGTGGCATGTGGATCTTCAGGGTGAAGCGGCCGCCGGGTTCTCCGCCTGTCTTCAAGGCGCGTTACGTGGCTCGTGGCTTCAGTCAGCGGCAGGGAGTTGACTACTTTCAGACCTTCTCCCCCACCCCGAAGATGACCACTCTTCGGGTACTGCTGCACGTTGCTGCTCACCGTGACTACGAGCTGCACTCTCTTGACTTCAGCACAGCTTTCTTGCAGGGCAGCCTGCACGAGGAGATCTGGCTGCGTCGCCCACCTGGCTTCACTGGGTCTTTCCCTCCTGGTACCCAGTGGAGTCTCCGGCGTCCAGTCTACGGTCTCCGCCAGGCGCCACGTGAGTGGCACGACACACTGAGGACTACGCTTGCGGCTCTTGGGTTTGCTCCTTCTACTGCCGACCCGTCGCTGTTTCTACGCACCGACACCTCTCTGCCGCCGTTCTACATCCTCGTGTACGTCGACGACTTGGTCTTTGCCACAGCTGACACTGCTGGACTCGCCTACGTGAAGTCCGAGCTGCAGAAGAGACACACGTGCACAGACCTGGGTGAACTGCGCAGCTACCTTGGCTTGCAGATCACCCGGGACAGAGCACGCCGCACCATTACCCTGACTCAGTCACACATGGTGCAGCAGGTCCTTCAGCGCTTCGGCTTCACGTACTCCTCGCCTCAGGCCACTCCTCTGTCTACTCGCCACTCGCTCTCAGCTCTGCCTTCGGATGAGTCCGTAGAGTCGAGTGGCCCGTACCCAGAGCTTGTTGGCTGCCTCATGTACCTGATGATCTGCACACGACCTGACCTTGCATACCCTCTTAGCATTCTTGCACGCTATGTTGCTCCTGGGAGACACAGACCAGAGCACATGGCTGCAGCGAAGAGGGTGTTACGCTACTTGTGCAGTACGTCGGGCATGGGGCTAGTGCTTGGAGGGCGGAGTCCAGTGGTCCTCACTGGGCACGCGGACGCTTCTTGGGCTGACGACCAGGCTACGCAGCGGTCGTCACAGGGTTACACCTTCAGCCTTGGTTCCGGCTCTGTTTCGTGGCGGGCTACTCGCTCGTCTTCTGTTCTTGGCTCGAGTTGTGAGGCTGAGATCTACGCCGGGGCCATGGCTGCACAGGAGCTTCGCTGGCTCACCTACCTGCTGACCGACCTTGGAGAGCCGCCTCGTTCTCCTCCAGTCCTGTACGTAGACAACAAGGCCATGCTGGCCTTGTGTCGAGAGCAGCGACTGGAGCACAGAACAAAGCACATTGCTCTCCGCTACTTCCTTGCTCGTGAGCTACAGCAACGTGGACAGTTGCGGCTTGCGTACGTGGCCTCTGAGGCCAACACTGCTGATGTCTTCACCAAGGCACTTCCGCCTTGTGATCATCAGCGCTTCTGCACTCAGCTGGGTCTTGTGCCTGTCTTGCCTCACTTGCTCTCCTCTTGACCTTGCTTGTACTCTCACATATATATATACCTGCTCTTGCTTGTCTAGCTTTATATATATGTGTGTACTCTTGCATGTGAACTGGCCGTGTGGCCTTGACCCTGTGCTCGGACTGTGTGGTGACTTTGTGATCCACCCTGAGCTTGCTTTGCTTTGCTTTGCTTGATTGGTCTTGTGACCCCTTGTTCTCCCCCACTTTGCCTATGGGGGTGTGTCAGAACATTATAGCTTATGCTGTTGTGTAGGCTATAGTGGGGTATCCCATAGGGGGTACAACCAATTAGGGTTTCATATTTGTACTCACTTCATTTTCATAGTTCACCCCATTCTCGTTCTCATTCTCACAGGAATTATCCTATGCTAGCTTGGACTTGTTTGTACTAACCCATTTGAAATGAGACGATGCCATTGCTACAACAAGAAAGCAAGCTTTCTAAATTTGGGAACTCAAAAATTTCGGCTACAACCGTCGGGCCGTTTCTGCGAAGGTAACCAGTTAGCGACATTCGTAAGTCAAGTGGCGACAGTCGCAAATTTTGCAAAAAGTAAACGAATTTGATGGCCGCTTAAAAAGACGACACAAAAACAACGCCGAGTCAACTCCAAAACGGCCAAGTAGTCGGCACAGTGTGCGACAACCGCCTACGACGTCGCACGGTATCGCCGAACCACATCGTCAAATGAGAAATATCGCCGTTAAATGTGTGACCCCGTCGTACATACCCAGCTACGGTAGTAACTCCAATTTGTTTCCGAACCAGCATGCAAATTGGCCACCAAAGTTGTAAAATCCGCAAATCTGCAAATGGTGGCTGAAAATTGGCCGTCTCGAATTCGGCCTCCAAGTCGACTTTCGCGAAAGAAATGTCGAGCACATGGTCGACGAAAAATTCGGCCAAACCCCAATTTCGCACTTGCACAGGGTTTTACACGCCCTAACTGCCTCAACCTTCCTAACTTCGGTTGGGTGTGTTATGAATAATAATGAATGAAGCATTTGTTAACGGGAGTGGAATGTTGGCCCCGCCCTCGCTTGGGCAACGCCAACAACTTGGTCGGATGTACGGGAGTAGCAGCCGATCGTTCACAGTGGGAGAGCTGCTCGACAGGCTTCGTCGAGCTGCAGGGGACCGCTGTGGTGTTGCTGTCGACCAGGAAGCTCTGTCACGAGACGAACTTAGCTAGGAACGGGTTTAACTAAGGGCCTAGGCTTAGTAGCCTAGGCCAAGCGGGTGTCGAGGGAGTTGTGCCAAGAGAGAATCGAGAATGTGTGTCTTCACTATAGGTTTGCAAGAACATATAGCAAAGAAACAAAGAGGTGCACCACCACAACAAAGAAACATAACTACACTAAAGCTAAAGCTACAGGCAGTTATAAACATATATAAATATATATCGCGACACACCCCCTTAACTGCCTGCAGCACATAGCTAGAGCAAGTCACACCCCCTGAAGGGGCAGGTGCGGTGGGAGACGGCAGAGGGGTACGTGAGGAGGAGGAGGCAAGAGGAAGAGAGGAGAGGAGAATAGATAAGAACACAGGAGGAGGTGAGTGGGGGATGAGGAGAGGAGGTGGGGGGTGGCCGCAGCGTCCCCTCTTACTAACCCCCTTTTACGAAAGGGGGGGTTGAGTGGGGGATGAGGAGAAGAGGTGGGGGGGTGGCCGCAGCGTCCCCTCTTACTAACCCCCACATCCCCACCCCCAACCAACCACCCGCCCTCAACCTCACCCCCCATTTCAGTCGCCCCCTGGAACCGCACTCCCTCCACCCCTGTCTTCCTCCATACCTCTCCCAACCCACGATGGTCCCTGTACAGTCTTTCACAGGTGGGCTGCTGGGCACAGGTGGGGCTGCTGGTCACAGGTGGGGCTGCTGGTCACAGGTGGGGCTGCTGGTCACAGGTGGGGCTGCTGGTCACAGGTGGGGCTGCTGGTCACAGGTGGGGCTGCTGGTCACAGGTAGGGCTGCTGGTCACAGGTGGGGCTGCTGGTCACAGGTGGGGCTGCTGGTCACAGGTGGGGCTGCTGGTCACAGGTGGGGCTGCTGGTCATAGGTGGGGCTGCTGGTCACAGGTGGGGCTGCTGGTCACAGGTGGGGCTGCTGGTCACAGGTGGGGTTGCTGGTGCTGGTGCTGGCGGCTGGCGCTGGTGCTGGTTCCTGGTGCTGGCAGCTGGCACTGGGGCTGGTTCCTGATGCTGGCGGCTGGTGCTGGGGCTGGTTCCTGGTGCTGGCGGCTGGCGCTGGTGCTGGTTCCTGGTGCTGGCGGCTGGCACTGGGGCTGGTTCCTGGTGCTGGCGGCCGGCGCTGGGGCTGGTTCCTGGTGCTGGCGACTGGCGCTGGGGCTGGTTCCTGGTGCTGGCGGCTGGCGCTGGGGCTGGTTCCTGGTGCTGGCGGCTGGCGCTGGGGCTGGTTCCTGGTGCTGGCGGCTGGCGCTGGGGCTGGTTCCTGGTGCTGGTGGCTGGCGCTGGGGCTGGTTCCTGGTGCTGGCGGCTGGCGCTGGTGCTGGTTCCTGGTGCTGGCGGCTGGCGCTGGTGCTGTTCCGCCACCACTCCCTTCCCCTCCTCTCTCTCCTTTCCACAGCGTCCCACCGCCACTCCCTTCCCCTCCTCCCTCTCCTCCCCATGGCGACCGCCGCTGCACACGCAAACAGTCGCGACGGGGGGGGGGGGGGGGGTGACGGGCAGGGGGCGGGGGGAATGCGACGGGCAGAGCGGGCGAATGAGCGGCTGGGGCGATCGCCAGTGCTCTGGTGATCGTCGCTGGCGTTCCCCCGTCACTCCTATCCCCTCTTCCCTCTCGCCCCCACAGAGTTCCGCCGCCACTCCCATCCCTTCTTCCCTCTCCCCCCCACAGCGACCGCCGGTGCGACGGGCGAGGTGCAAGGTGGCGCTGGCTGCAGTCGATGGCGCAAACGCGATCGCGGGCCGCTGGCGACTTCGCTGGCGGGTCGCTGGCGGCGGGTCCGCTGGCGTTCGCCATAGCGTCCGCCGCGCCCGTCGCGCTGAGAGCCGCGACGAGGCAGGCGACGGGGGGCAGCGCGAGCAGCAGGGAAAAAAAAAAGATACGCAAGGTGCGGATTTCGCGCCACTAACTGTAGCAGTCGCGAAATGTGGTGGGCCCATAAACGAAATAGGTCCTAGGACGGACCACTCTGTTACCATGTCACGAGACGAACTTAGCTAGGAACGGGTTTAACTAAGGGCCTAGGCTTAGTAGCCTAGGCCAAGCGGGTGTCGAGGGAGTTGTGCCAAGAGAGAATCGAGAATGTGTGTCTTCACTATAGGTTTGCAAGAACATATAGCAAAGAAACAAAGAGGTGCACCACCACAACAAAGAAACATAACTACACTAAAGCTAAAGCTACAGGCAGTTATAAACATATATAAATGTATATCGCGACAAGCTCGACAGCTGCAACTGACTGGTCTGGGCGACGGGTGGGCCGTCGACCAGGAGGGGCAGTTCGACCGGGAGGTCGACGGAGCAGTCCGTCGACCTGACAAGAGAGCAGCGGTCGACGAGGAGAGCTCGGCGACAACCGCTGACAGTTCTGGTCGACGGAAGGGGTCCGTCGACCAGGGGGTAGCTCGTCGGGAGTTGTGGTCGACCAGGGGCACCTGGTGGTCGACCAGAGGGACCCGGTGGTCGACCAGAGGCACTTGGTGGTCAACCAAAGCACCTGGTGGTGTCAAGGTCGACCGGGTAACCTGCTTGACGAGTTCCGCGGAGGCACGTGAACGTCGTCAAGGTCGCGGTGGCGAAGGCGGCTTCGGGTTGGTATTTCGAAATCGATGTGGCTTGTCTGGCGCAGACAACAGCCGACGGATGCACAATGATGCAAGTCGGTCGGGCTAGTCGTCTGCGCGCACCTGCGAGCGTGCGCACTACTGTCTTCTAAGGAGCAATGCTGGACAGCCACTTTGCTTCAGCGTTGGCACGCCGTCAACCTGCAGTGTTGGGAGGCCGCTCTTCTGAAGTGTTGGCACGGCTCCTCTACGCAACGCTGGCAGGCGGTCGACCAAGCTGCGCTGGCGGTCGACATGCTAGCTGCAGAGTTGCTAGGTGCCTAATGTAATCATTGTTGTCATTGCTTGTTCAACCATTCTGTAATTTCGATTTTGCTAGTGGAAACTCTTGCCAACTTCTCTCGTGAATGTGCAAGTGCTAAGGAACACAAGCAAAACTACGATCACTCTTAGTAGTTCGTGCCTACCCCCCCGTGGTCTAGCTCACTACATCTGTTGAGTGACTCTCCGCAACATTACGGTGCACTCCTAACCGCAGGAATCGAAGCACTCAGTACGGAGGCTGAAGATGAAAAGGCGGAAGTGAACCGAAGGGTCGTACGGTTATGAAGCATCTGGACCGTCAAGGCAGATGGCATCCGGAAGCAGTATTGGGGTGGATTCTGCCCAGGCAGTTCGTAACCGTCTGGAGTCGCACGATTGATTTTCACTGCAATAAGGGAATTGTCAGAAACTAACGAGCAAGAATGGATGAACTAGCAGCAAGATGGGTATAGGTAGGAAACCTTTATTGGGTTGTACCCCATATAGGCTACCCCACTATAGCCTACACAATAAGCAGTATATGAGTTTGACACACCCCCATAGGAAAAGTGGGGGAGAACAAGAGGTCACAAGACCGGTCAAGAAAAGCAAAGCAAGCTCAGGGTGGATCATGAAGTCACCACGAATTCTCAGCACAAGCAAATGGCCACAAAGCCAGTTCACATGCAGAGTTATATATAAAGGAGAACAAACAGTACAGTGATCACAACCTAGCAAGTGTAAGCATGCAGGTATATGTATATAGATCACAGTACAGGCAAAGTCAAGAAGTGAGCAAGTGAGGCAAAGTAGCCACAAGGTCTAGAACAGTACAAAAACGCTGATGATCACAAGGCTGAAGTGCCTTGGTGAAGATATCAACAGTGTTGGCCTGAGAGGCCACGTAAACAAGATGAAGCTGACCACGCTGCTGCAACTCTCGAGCAAGGGTGTAGCGCAGAGCGATATGCAATCATGGCCTTATTGTTGACGTACAGAACTGGAGGAGAACCAGGCGGCTCTCCCAAGTCGGTCAGCAGGTAGGTGAGCCAGCGTAACTCGTGTGCAGCCATGGCCCCTGCGTAGATCTCAGCCTCACAACTGGAGCTGAGAACAGAAGACGAGCGGGTAGAACACCACGAAATAGAGCCGGAGCCAAGGCTGAAGGTGCGTAGCCAAGTCGTCAACACAAGAAGCGTCTGCGTGACCAGTGAGGACAACTCGAGCCCGTCCTCAAAGCACGAGCCCCATGCTCGACGTACTGCACAAGTAGTGCATCACCCTCTTAGCGGCCGTCTAGTGCTCTGGTTGGTGTCTCCCGGGCGCAACGTAGCGTGCCAGGATGCTAAGCAAGGTCAGGTCTAGTGCAGGTCATCAGGTACATGAGGCATTCCACAAGCTTTGGATACGGGCCACTCGGCTCTACGGACTCATCCGAAGGCAGAGCTAAGAGCGAGTGAGCGGTAGGCAGAGGAGTGGACTGTGGCGAGGAGTACTGGAAGTCGAAGCGCTGAAGGACCTGCTGCACCATGTGTGACTGAGTCAAGGTAATGGTGTGCTGTGCACTGTCCCAGGTGATCTGCAAGCCAAGATAGCTGCGCAGCTCACCCAGGTCTGTGCACGTGTGTCTCTTTTGCAGCTCCGACTTCACGTGGGCCAGTCCAGCAGTGTCAGCAGTGGCAAAGACCAAGTCGTCAACGTACACGAGGATGTAGAACGGCGGCAGCGAAGTGTCGGTGCGTAGAAACGGCGACGGGTCAGCAGTCGAAGGAGAAAACCCAAAAGCTGCAAGCGTCGTCCTCAGTGTGTCGTGCCACTCGCGAGGTGCCTTGCGGAGACCGTAGATTGGCCGCCGGAGGCTCCAGTGGGTACTTGCAGGAAACGACTCAGTGAAGCCAGGTGGGCGGCGCAGCCAGATCTCCTCGTGCAGGCTGCCCTATAGGAAAGTTGTGCTGAAGTCAAGAGAGTGAAGCTCGTAGTCACGCTGAGCGGCGACGTGCGACAGAACTCGAAGAGTGGTCATCTTCGTGGTAGGGGAGAAGGTCTGGAAGAAGTCAACTCCCTGTCGCTGACTGAAGCCTCGTGCAACGTAACGCGCCTTGAAGACAGGCGGAGAACCTGGCGGCCGCTTCACCCTGAAAATCCACATGCCACTGACGATGTTCGCCCCAGGTGGGGGAACCTCGTCGACGTAAGCGCCTGTGGAATTCCAGGATGCCATCTCTGCGTCCATGGCTGACTGCCACTGAGAAAAGTACGGACCCTCAATCGCCTCTTCGTAAGAGCGCGGGGTCGGGATGTCTGGTGCATCCGGGTCTCCCTCAGGTGCAATCAGCATGGACACGAGATGAGGTACAGCAGCTGCAAAACACTCAGAGTCCTCCAGCCTGTCCTCAAGGACGTCCGTGCCAAGAGCACACTCACCCCCGACGGACGGAGGACAGACAGACTCAGACTCAGCAACAAGACTAGCGGTGTAGTCTAGACGACAGGCAGCAACAAAGTCAACAAGCTCAGCAACTAAGGCAGACGCAGCAGTGGACTCAAACGAAGGGTCAGTGACAACAGTGGCCAGAAGACGTGTGACAGTAGGACTAGCAGCACAAAGTAAGTCAGAATCAGGGTCCAGTCCATTAGCAAGAGAGGACGCAGGAGGAGACGGGGACACGTAGTGGAACAGAGGAAAGACGAAGTGCCATCTGGTGCGTGCCGGGGACAGGAGGAGGACACTGACGCGGAACATGACGACCAGTGCGAACAGCGCAAACAGGCGAGGCAGGACGAGACGTAGGCTCACGACGCTCTGTAAACGAGTCTGTCTGCTCAGGGTAAGGAGAAAGAGCAGGCAGTGGGGAGCCTGGCTGTAACGGGAGGCCAGTAAAAGACGGGAGGCTAAGAACCTGGCGACCGAGTCAGGCGGTGGCAGAGACGACGGGGACGGCGGAGCGAAAAACAGTCGCCGCTGTGTAGTACCACCAGCACCAGGATCCCCAGCTCCAACACCTCCAGTACGAGTACCAGCGGTCCCAGCGCCTCCAGCAGCTCCAGTACCTCCAGCTCCAGCGCCTCTAGCTCCAACGCCTCCAGCCCCAGCGCCTCCAGCTCTAGTGGCTCCAGCTCCAGAGCCCACAGCACCAGCAGCTCCAGTACCTCCAGCACCAGCAGCACCACCAACTCCAGCAGCTCCAGTACCTCCAGTACAAGCACCTCCGGGACAAGCAGCTCCAGCACCAGCAGCACCACCAGCTCGAGCAGCTCCAGTACCTCCAGTACTTGCACCTCGAGAGAGTACCTCCAGAACCCCCAGTACGAGCACCTCCAGGACTAGTAGTGGCAGCACCACTAGCACCAACAGCACCACCAGCTCCGGCAGCTCCAGTACCTTCAGTACGAGCAGCTCCAAGGCCTCCCTCTCTAGCAGCGACACTCCGAAGGCGGAACTGCTGAGCGTACTACTCGCGCGGCTGCTGCGGTGAGAGAGGCTCCCGTAGTGGAGAAGAAGTAACCCTAGGCGCAGCACCCCCAGACTCAGCAACACCAGTCTCCGCACCCGCAAGCTCAGCTCCCCCAAGCTCCGCACGCTCAAGCTCAACACCCCCAGGCTCCACACGCTCAGGCTCAGCACCCGCAGGCTCAGCACCCCCAGGCTCCACACGCTCAGGCTCAGCACCCCCAGGCTCCACACGCTCACGCTCAGCACCCCCAGGCTCCGCACCCGCAGGCTCAGCACCCCCAGCAGCACCTGAGTCACCAGTGACCTCGACAGGCTCAACCAAGGGGAGTGGGTCTACTTGAGACACACCTGAGGGAGCAGGACCCTGAGGGGGGAGGGGGTCTACCTGAGGGGGACCTGGAGCGAGGAAGAGTGGCGGGGGGGGGAGAGGGGCAATGGGGTAAGGGAAGAGACGGTAAAAGGGGACCGACTCGTCAAA